GTATTTTGTAGAGAGCCTTCGGGTCAAGCTCATCGTGGTGCCCTGGGACTACGATTTCACGCAGGATCTCTCGGATGCTTTTCGTCTGGCCTTCGCTTCTCATGGGAGGAGCTCCTGGTGATGGCGGGAGAAGGGCGGAATGTGGCGGGGGCAAGGAAGAGAACGGTGGGGCAGACCAGGGGGCAGAGCCGCTTCGCTCGCGAGTCCTTCCGCCGAGCCATTTCGCCCGCCCAGGCCTCTTCGCCCAGACCAAGTTCGCAATGTTTTTTTGTTTTCTCTCTCTCTCTCTGTCTCTGTCTCTTCCTGGAGTGTTGGCAGTTCGCTTACTGTACCAGCCTCATCTCTAAGCGGTTGACCTTGACCAGGGAAGGGTACTAACACGCAGTGGGTTGAACGAAGAGGTGAGCAGCCAGCAAGCCGAAGCTTGGGGTAAGCCCGAGCATACCCAGGAGTGGAGCTGCTGGGCCTGCTGCCGAGGGTGGAGGAGATAGTGGGAAGGTTGGAGGACATTGATCAGGTTCGACAATTCCCATGGCTGGGCCGCACCTCTGTCAGGCGCGCGTTTGCGGTGTCACATACAGTGAGGGGCGTCGAATCGCGTGTTCCTTTTTTTCTTTGGACTTCGAGATAGACCCCATTGGAGCTTTCTGTGAACATTCCCGGGCGATTTTAGACCAGCCTTGAATCCTGTGTATGCCCCTCTAGGGGTGGGGCTCTTATGGGCGATCCTGCAGCCACCTTGAGGCCTCATATGCCCATCGGAAGCGAAATGGCCAGAAGAAGACGTTTCGGGGGTCTCTTGCAGTCATGCTTGATAGTATCTTGAGCTGTATTGTGCGATCGTGGAGGCCACCTCATGCTATCTTGGACCGTAGTGGAACCATCTTGGACAAACAACGAGCCCTCCGCTACACAGCCCCTCGCCCCCCCCGTCCAGATCCAGCGGACAGGAGGTATTGGGAGGACCCTCCTCGAAGGCGAAGCAGGGGGTTGCAAGCGGAAGCGCCCTGAACCACCTACGCCCGGGGGGTTGGTGGGATTATGCAGATGCTGCGGTAAGTTCGAAACGATTTCTTCAAGACAGTGGAGACCGACATCGGACAGCATTGGCAGAGGTGGCGACTGAGATAAGGTTGAGCAGTTGCCAGCAGATGTCAGCAACAGCCATCACGGTGGCGATGACGACGATACATATGCGTTCCCCATTGTTGAGAAGCATGAGGCTCATCACGAGTATGGGTTTGGGGGTGGGCGGGGCAAGCCGTCATATACCCCAAGAGGGGGAGGATGAATGAGGAATCTCTGTCGTCGGAGGAGGAGGAGGAAGAGGAGGAGGTTCAGGAGGAGGAGGTGGAGTAGGGCGACAACGAGGATTGTCACGGCTGTCGTTTAAGGCACGGGTAGTGTTTTACCGTTTCGTGCCCTAACAATGGCGGCATACGATGTTCAATTCCAACTCAAATTCAAACATCAGAAAGCAGTGAAGTATCTACAACATAAATCATGCTACCCTGCGTGGTGCAAACTGTTTGAGATGCAATGCTAATTCAAGTGGGATGTAACCTGGAATGCATGAGGAAGGTCCCCCCACGGCTGTGAAGCAGGATGGTTCACAATTGCCTGGCCTCTTCCCAGAGGAGGTCCGCCCCACGACTGTGAAGCGCAATGAGCTGCCCTGTGCCAATCCCCGTACTCCCATGGATGCAGCATGCATTAAGATGCGCCTACTACCACGCCTATGCGTTGCAACACTCGCGCCACCACCCTCCACTGCACGGCCTATGGCCACCCATGGCCTACACGCGGGCCCTTTGTACGGTGGCTGGTAAGCCCCTCACCCGCATGCCTGATGCGGCCACCTATGGCCCGCGTGCTACTGCACAGACCCCAGGCCTGTTTTGGCCTACTCTGGTCTGCGACCTATCAACGCTTCAACGCATGAACCTACCTGGCTACTCCCCCACGACGTGGCAGGGGGACGGGGCCAGAAGCAGGAGGAGGATGAATAGGAGGACGAAGAGGAGCAGTAGGAGGAGGAGACCCGATAACGCGATACCAGAGGAGGAGGAGGAGGAGTAGGAGGAGGAGGAGGAGGAGGAGGAGGAGACCTATGTCCCGCGTGCTACTGCACAGACCCTATGCCTGTTACGGCCTACCATGGTTTGCGAGCTGCCGACGTGTCAAAGCACGAACCTACCCGACCACTCCTTCACGACGTGGCTGGGGGACGTGGCCAGAACGAGGAAGAGGAGGAGGAGGAACAGGAGGATTCATGAGGAGGAGGAAGAGGAGTAGGAGGAGGAGGAATAGGAGGAGGAATATGAGGATTCATGAGGAGGAGGAATAGGAGGAGGAGGAATAGGAGGAATAGGAGGAGGAGGAATCGGAGGAGGGAACCGATCAGCTACGGAACACTCTCCACAAGAACTCCCGCACCCCCATCGCGACGCTATCAGTCCTAAATGAGGTTGCGCCTGATGTATCCCGCTTCGTGGGATGACTTTTGCGGAGCTAACCTACTCAAACGCAATGCCGGGCGACTGTTTTCGGCCAAGCTATACGTTAACAAAGTGGCCCCCCTTTCGATTAAACGCAACGCTGGGGGACCGATTTCGGCCAATCTAGATGTTAACACAGTTCCCCCCCTTTCGAGCAGGGGGGACGCCATTTTGTTAAGTGCAGCCTCATGACGTAATCCCCCCAACACTTTCAACGCCGTCCGCATGCTCCTAACCAACCAAGAGGCACCGCAGCAGTGGTGGACCCACGCTGTACGAGCGCTAGGCGCACGATCGCTATGGATGATCATTCATTCGATACGCGATACCCTATCCGATGGAGGCACGTGTGACCAACCGTGGCGGTACCCACCCCTTCTTCAACTGCCTCGTGCCCTAACAATGGTGGCATGCTATGTTCAATTCCAATTCCGACTCAAACATCAGAACGCATTGAACTACCTGCAACCTAGATCATTCTACCCTGCGTGGTGCAAACCGTTTGACATGCAATGCTAATTCAAGTGGTATGTAACCTGGAATGCACGAGTAAGGTCCCCCCACGGCTGTGATGCAAGGTGGTTTACACTTGCCTGGCCTCTTCCCGGATGAGGGCCACCCCACGACTGTGAAGCACAATTAGTTGCCCCGTGCCAATCCCCGTACTCCCATGGATGCAGCATGCATTACGATGCGCCTACTACCACGCCTATGCGTTGCAACACTCGCGCCACCACCCTCCACTGCACGGCATATGGCCACCCATGGCCTACACGCGGGCCCTTTGTACGGTGGCTGGTAAGCCCACCCCCATGCCTGATACGGCCACCTATGGCCCGCGTGCTACTGCACAGACCCCAGGCCTGTTTAGGCCTACTATGGCCTGCGAACTATCAACGCTCTAAAGCATGAGCCTACCTGGCTACTCCCCCACGACGTGGCTGGGGGACGGGGCCAGAAGCAGGAGGAGGAGGAATAGGAGGACGAAGAGGAGCAGTAGGAGGAGGAGACCAGATAACGCGATACCAGACAAGAGACGCCTTTTTCATATTTACATGAGACATCCTCCAGTGCGCGGGGACTGCGTGTCCCATCAACCGAGACTGTGCGTCCCATGTACCAGGACTGTGTGTCCCATAACCGAGACCGCGCGTCCCATTTGCCAGGGCTGTGTGTCCCATAACAGGGACTGCGCATCCCATTTGATTTATCAGGACTGTGTGTCCCATAGCCCATAGCTGGGGCTGCGTGTCCCATGCGCTTGCCCTCTGGGAGGACCGCCCCATAGGCTATAGGCCATAGGGCATAAGAGCTGGAAGGCTGGAATGCGGGTCGCATAGCATCACATCAGAACCGCATCGCAATGTCCTTTGGTGCCAATTTTGGCTTGCGCACTACCAACACGGCAACTACTGCATCTACTTTACTACTCCCCTCTGCGTGTCTGGGGGTGGGGTCCTATTCGGGGATCGTTCTCGCTTCAACGTGGCATACCGCTGCTGGGATACAGTGGACCGACGGGGTTGTCCCAATCTCACCCTCCTCGGCGTGGCTAGGGAATGAGATTCGCCCCAGCCCACGCTCATCGCTGTAACCAAGGGAGTTCGGGGTGCTGTAACTTTATTTGGATAGAGGAAGAGGGGTGCTTCTGGCGCTTCCGGGAACAGCCCAGAGGCGCAAATCCCAACATCGAGGCCTTGCAAGTAAGGACCCGAACCCCTCACAGGTACAGAAGGATGCACGGGTGCCTTACAACGACCAAAGATGATGTTGATAACGGCCCTAGGGCTACCTTCTCTCCTTGATCCAGCAGTTGTACATGTAATCATTCACCGCTGGGTGAGGCGATGGGCGTCTCAGGTGCCCAGCCGAAATTGCTGCAGTTTCTGCGGCACTATTTCGCACCAGCCCACGCTCGACAAACCTACCCAGATGCCCCGTCCTGGCGTGGCTAGGGAATGGAATTCGCCCAATCCCACTCTCGACCTTCCCTCTTGCCCTTAGCTTGTGCATTCCGCTCTGCCCTTGAGATATAGCCTGAGCACGGTCAACATGTCAACGCATGATCCTACCTTACTACTCCCCCACGGCGTGGCTGGGGATCGAGGTCGGAGTAACGTACAGCGACCCTCAAAGAGATCATTCCCATGAACATGTCCAAATGCATGTCGGACAAACATGCCGATCGACAACCTGCTGGCCTGTGTCGCCCCGGTGGCGAAACCCCAGTGGGCTCAGGGGAGGTGCTCTTCGGAGATCCCCGATATCCTTACAGGCCGCCCCGTGCGTCTTCTCCGAAAACACCAGACTAGGGCCATGCACACCTTCGGCACGGGGAGGGCGACAACGAGGAGGACGAGAAGAAGGAGAAGGAGGAAAAAAGGGGAGAGTTGGGTACCCTAAGGATCCTCTCGAGGCCTCTTATGGGGTTTCTTGGGAACCTCTTGGAGGCCTCTTGGGACCGTTGGGGCGCCTCTTGGCGCCCTCTTGGGGCGCTCGTGAGAGCTTCAGAGGCGCTCTTGCGGCCACCTTGAGCACCGAACATCGCCTCCTGGACCCCTCTTGGAGCGCTCTTGGGGCCGTCTTGGGTCTCTCCTCGGCCGTTTTGGTCCAGCTTGGAGCCACCCAGAGGCCTCGGATGGCAATCGGAAGAGAAAAGGCGAGACCACACAAATCGGTGACTTTCTACAGGTTTTGGAAGGATTTTGGCTTTTCGGCCTTTTTGGACGTCTCGGAGGCTTCTTGTAGCCGTCTTGGAGCGTTCCTGGGGCCTCTTGGAGCACATTCGCGAAGCAATCTTGAGGCATCTCGGGCTACGTTGAGCGATCTTGGAAGTCATCTTGGGCTCTCTGAGGCCCTCTTGCAGCCATCTTCGGCGGAAAAGTACCCTCTGGCACCTCGCGGGGCGCCCCGTCCATGTCCAGGGGAGGGGCCTAGGGCGGAGAGTTAAACCCCTCCCCGAAGGTGAAGAAGGGGGTTGGAAGAGGAAGCGCCCTAGACCACCTACGCCCAGAAGGCTGGTGGGATTTGAGCCCCGCGCAGGACGAGTTTGACGGCCTCTTCTTGAGCAACGGGCCGGGCAATCCTCTGAAGTGCGAGGTAACGATCGGACACGTCCGTGAGGCGACGAGTGTGACCGCGTGGACACACTGGATTCTGGTTCGGGGGTCTGGAGACAGAGGGAGAGAGAGTGTGAGGGAGAGAGACACAGAGAGAGATGGATGCGCCAACACTGAAATATAGACATGCCTACAAAAACATATACCGAGGCAGAGCGAAGCCATCCGAATCATATGTGTATTGCGAAGGCCTTGCGGCTGGTGCCGCAAACCCTGAATGAAGACGCCGCCGACGACGACGACGACGACGATCGCTCTCGGTGGCCTCTTGGGGGTAGTTTGGGGGCCTCTTGTGAGGCTCTTGAGGGCCACTTGCGAGCCTCGTGTGGGCCTCTCAGGGGGCTTCTTAGGGGCCTCTGGGGCCTCCTGGGAGCTTCTCATGCGTCTCGGGGCCTCGGGGGGCCGTTCGGGTCCCCCGTCTGGGCTCCGACTTGGATCCATTCCTGAACTAGTGCTTGCACTTAGCGTGTCTTACTTGCTCCCCAATCCGTGCTTGCACTTTGAGTTTCTTCTTGCGAAGGCCCTACGGCCGGTGCCGCCGAACCTAAAGGCGGACGACGACGACGACGATGACGACGACGACGACGTCGATGACGATGACGACGCCGCCGCCGACGACGACGACGACCATGACGACGACGACGACGCTGACGTTGGTCAGAGTCCTCAGGGATTCTGTTTGGGGTCTCTTCGGAGCGTTCCCAGAGTCCCCTGTGGGGCAGTTTTGGGGGCCCCTTGGGAGCATGTTGGAGGCTTCTTGGGAGCCTCTTCGGAGTCTCTTGGAGCTTCCTCTTGGAGCCTGTTGGGGGCCTGTTGAGGGCCTCTTGGGGTCTCCTGGGAGCCTCTCCCGGCCGAGGGCTCGAAGTGTCCGTTTGGTTCCCCTGTCTGGGCACTCTTTTGGAGCCCTCTTGGGGGCCTATTAGGCCGTCTTGCAGGCGTCTTGGGCCGTCTTCGGGCCCTGTTTGGCCCGTTTCGGGACCCTGGTGGAGGCCTCTTGGAGCGTCGGGAAGCTGAGAAGGCGAGAACGCCCAAATCCTTTAAAACCTCTCTAAGGAAAATCAATCAATTCTGCCTCTTGGGGCCATGTTAAGAGTTAAGAGTGCTGCCTCTTGGGACGTTTTCTAGCCCTCTTGGACCGTCTGGAGGCCGTAAAGACATCTTGGACCGATCGTTCTGCGATTCGGGGTACTCTGGGACCGTCTTGGGGGCCTCTTGGGGCACTCTTGGCTCGTCTTGGGACTTTTTGGGGCCCCGTGCCCTCCACAGGGGGGTGGTATCCTGACCCAGAAACTCTCCGCGACCCCCCCCCGGAACAACAAGGATCAGCCCCCAGGACCCCCCCGCCTGGCGGGGAAGGGATCACAGGGAAGAGGCTCCCCTTCGACTCAATTACGACGTTGCTCCATTTCGCTGTGGCTGGCGCGCTTGAGGAGGAGGGCCCAGGAGAAGGGCAGGGCGGCGACGGGCCCAGGGAAAGAGAGGGATCGGCGACGGCGACGATGATGTTGACGAAGACGAGTCAAACGGAGCAGCCTCTTCCACACACCGACAGGGTCGGCGGATTTGTTTTCTAAAGAACTTGGCCTGTGCGTCGGTCTGGCGGCTATGTAGACGCTGTCGCCTCGCCGTCGCCGCCTCGTTGCCGGCCATCGTTTGGACCTTCGCGTCGGTCTGGCGGCTTTGTAGTCGCCGTCGCCGCCCCGTCGCCGCCTCGTCGCCGGCTACCGTCTGGGCATGTTTGTCGGTATGTCCGTTATGTTGTCTCCGTCGCCGCCCCGGCGCCGCTTCGTCGCCGCCCATCGTCTAGGCCTGTGCGTCGGTATGGCGGCTGTGAAGTCGCCGTCGCCGCCCTGTCGCCGCCTCGTCGTATGTGCCCCGTCGCGACCCCCGTCGCCGCCCCGTCGCCGCCCCGTCGCCGCCTAGTGCAATGACTGCACTGCGCCGGATGCGCCACATATAATGCATCACTGATATTGCACCACACAGACTGCACGACAAACTTTGAGTTTGCACCACACAGATTGGACCACGTCGATTGCACAACTAAGATTGCGCTCCACGCTCACTGCACCGAATAGATTGCACTACGCAGATCGCACCTCGTATCTCGGATCACATAGAGGCACAGCACATGCTGCATAACATTCATGGCAGCACATACATTGCGCACCACATAGATTGCTCCACATTCCTTGCACACTATACGTTACTCACAGCACACTGTTTGGGGTCCTCGGTGACTAACATTTGTTTATAAGGAGCTGGACTTGTGCGTCGGTCTTGCGACCATGTAGTCGCCGTCGCCGCCCCGTCGTCGCCTCGTCGCCGTTCATCGTCTGGGCCTGTGTGTCTGTCTGGAGGTTATGTAGTCGCCGTTGCCGTCCCGACGCCGCCTCGCCGCTCATCGTCTCGGCCTGTGCTTCGGCCTGGCGGCTATGTAGTCGCCGTCGCCTTGTCGCCGCCGCCCGTCGTCTGGGCCTGTCTGTCGGTCTGGCGGCTCTGTCGTCGCCGCCGTCGCCGCTGGCCGCCGCCGTTCGATTGCACCACATAGAGTGCTCTGCGTTGCTTGGCATGGCGTTGCTTTTCGTTGCGTTGTGTTGCTTTGCATTTCTGTGCGTTGATTTTGTCTCCGTTTGCATTACAGGCTAGCCCCTTCTCCCTCGAAGATTGCACCTCATGGAATGTACCGCATAGATTTCACCAAGTCGATGGCACCACGTATACTGTACCACATCGATTGCACAGCATGGGTCGCACAACATAGGTTGCACAACGTCCATTGCATCACATATATTAGTCCACATCGATTGCACAACATAGATGGCTAGACTAACACTTGTTGGGGTCCACGCTGGCTACCATACACATGCGTGGACACATACATCGATATTGGGGGATACAAGGGGAGAGAGGGATAGAGAGAGAGAGAGACAGATAGAGAGAGAGAGAGAGAGAGAGAGCGAGAGAGCGGTTGAGGGAGGGGAAACACTGAACATGCCGCCTCACAGGCAGCATGCATGCAGACATGCAGGGAATTGAAAAGGCAGGCAAGTCCAGAGACAGGCACAAACAGACGTCGCTGGCGTCTTCGTCGTCCTCGCCGTCGACGTCGCGTTTCTTCGTCGTCCCCGCCGCCGCTGCCGCAGACACGTCGACACGGCTTTCGCCGATCTCGCGATCCGCCTTCGAGGCACCCACACTGGGTTGGGTTAAAATCCGACGCCTGCGGCGGAAGAACATCGGCGCCTGCGGCGGGCTTCTCCGAAGGCTCGCAAACTGCCGACGACCCCGTCGCCCCGCAGGCGGTGTCGTTCCTCCCCCTGAGTGGACGCTGCGGGGTCGTGGCAGTCGCCGTCCTGCAGCCCTGCTGCCCTGTGCTAAAGCGGCCGTGCCCGCGCCCCCACAATTCCGCCGCGCTGGGAGGACACCAACCAACCAACCAACCAACTGAAGGGGCTATGGTATTCCGTGGCACGACGCGGCCACGATCGCGACGACCCGCCGCCGATGCCGTGCGACCCGCGCCCGCCACGGGCGGCACCGCGGCCACATCGGGGGCGCCGAGGAGGTCCCCATCCCTCTCCTCCCCCCCTTCCTCTTGCCCGCCTCCCCTCTATAGTCTGCTGCTGCACCTAGTCTGACGGCACGTAGTCGGCGCCCAAACCTTCTTCCCCTGCATCCCTCCTCCCTCTCTCCCTCACTCCCTTCTTCCCTCACCTCCCTTCCTCCCTCCCTCCTTTGCTCATGTTCGCCTGACGTCCCCAAGAAGGAGGAGGAGGAGGAGGAGGAGGAGGAGGAAGGAGGAGGAGGAGGAGGAGGAGGAGGAGGAGGAGGAGGAGGAGGAGGAGGAGGAGGAGGAGGAGGAGGAGGAGGAGGAGGAGGAGGAGGAGGAGGAGGAGCTAGGAGGAGCTAGCAGGAGGAGAAGGAGGGAGCCGGGGCCCCCTCCTCCGGGCGGCGCCTCGTCGCGTCCGCCCGCCGGCTGCACCTGCCCCCCGCACTCGCCTCCTGCTCGGCGCCGCCGTGCCAAGCGGCGGCGCCCGGCTGTCTCGGGAGTCCGCGGCCGGAGCCGGGCACGCGCGGGCACGGCGTCGGGATGCAGACTCGGGGGGGGAGACCGTCCTCTCGCACGGATGGGCCTGTTTTCCACCACCACAACCAGGAGGAAGAGGGCGAGGAGGAGGATGAGGAGGAGGAGGAGGAGGAGGAGGAGGAGCAGGAGGAGGAGGAGGACCCCCTCCGCCTCCAACTTATGGTTGTGGTGGTGGAAAACAGGCCCATCACGCATTGCCTGGCGATATCACGGGCGTGACCGGAGGGGGGCTGGCCTCAGTATCGTTTAGCCGACCCCCATCTCCATCCTCGTCCCCTTCGAGACCCCCACCAAATGACCCCCCCCAGTTGGGTGTATACACCTCTCGAAGCCCGAAGGGAGCGGCCTACATCCCCATCTAGGGGGGGGGGGACTCGGCCAGGGGGGCCCAGGCCACGCCGCTTGGGATGGGGATCGTTTGAACGACACTCATGGCCAGGGCCCCTGCTGCCGCGCAGACGGCTGGCACGTCTGATGCACCCGACTCCGCGATCTGTCAGCCCGCGGTCCCTGGGTGCCCGACGCCTTCCCTGGAGAGCATTTGTTAATGCCCTTGCGACAACGGGCGTGACCGGAGGGAGGGGGTGGAGGGCGAGGGGGGGGAGGCGGGAGGGTGGCAGGTCAGTCACGTCGCGGTTCGCGCCGCATCGCCGATGCATCGCCGATGCGGCTCGATGTGCAGCCCGCTTTGCTTCACGTCGACGTCGCCGATGCATCGCCGACGTCGATGATGCATCGCCGATGCATCGCAGATGTATCGCCGATGCATCGCCGATACATCGCCGATGTACCGGCGATGCGGCGCGATCCTTCGACCCCATGTACTCGGACCCCATCTAGGAGGCATCTTGGGAATGCTCAGGAATGGCTCATGCCTAGAGATCCAGCGCCAGTGCATGGGCAGAAATCAGGAC